ACACGACGATTTCAAGATGTATAACAATTATTATACAGTATCCAAACAACAACAACAACAACAGCAACAACAACAACAGCAACAACAACAGCAACAAAAACAACCTCAGCATCCTCATAAACAGCAGCAGGAGCGAGAGAGTCACACGAGAACCAACATTTTTTCCTACGTTAAACTTCTAAATAATTCTTACGGGTCGTCATCGTCTTTCTCACCATCACAATCACCATCGCCGTCTTCATCACCAGTAGAGAGACTAAATGAAAATATGTCGCGGCCACTATCCAGCAATCATCATCTGAGGAACTTTTATTATCATTCCACCAATTCATCGTCATCAACAACTTTATCATTATCTTTGGCATCATTATCATCATCATTATCATTATCAACATCATTATCATCATCGGTATCATCATTTCTTTCGTCATCTTTGAGTTGTTTCTCGCACCATCCTCTCACACCATCACCTCTGCCTCTATTCTCATCGCAACTGTCCATATCACAGACATCATCATCATCATCATTGCCATCACAGACATCATCATCATTACAATCATCATCATCATTACCACCACAAATATCATCATCATCATTAAAAACAACACCATCATCACCGCCACCATCATCATTCCAATCATTTCCAATTCGAGAAATAGCGGCCCAGATGCTTTTAATCGGTTTAAACTGGATCAAATCGATCCCAAGCTACCCCTTCAACCTATCACTGGCCGATCAGCTGAGTTTGTTGGCAGATTCCTGGAAGGAACTCTTCATGCTCTCGGCCAGCCAGTTTAGATTGTTGGATTTTTTAAATGATGCCAGGCAGCATTTTGGTGATGGTGGTGGTGGTTGTGGGCAGTTTACAAATGAAAATTTTGAAGGTTCACCGAATAAACGTGGCGAGAATTTTTCCGGTAAAAATTTTGAAATTGCCTCAAAAACAGATTGCGTCGTTAAGATGCGGGATAAGGATGCTGCTGGCGAAGATGATGAAGAAGGAGATGACGATGATGATGAGGGAGGTGATGATGATGAGGGAGGTGATGATGATGAGGGAGGTGATGATGATGAGGTTGTGGTGGAGGATTGTGCAGTCGGTTCTTCAGTTTGCGACCGGAAGTTCCTCAATCTTCGAGATTCAGGTCAAAATGGCGAGCGGAAAACAAGTTATGATGCTCTTTCATCTGCCGTTAATAATCTCATCGTCGTCAACAACCGCAGCAGCAGCAATTACAGCAACCACAACAACCACAACCACAACAACAGCAACCACAACAACAGCAACAACAACAACTCAACAACGATGTTAACAAAAATGCGAAAGTTGTGTCCAAAAGTCGAAGACATAATAAAGCGATTGAATGATTTGGAAGTGGATGCTGTTGAATATTCATATCTCAGAGCCGTCGTCTTCTTCAAGCCAAGTCAGTTGTTGGGCATGCATGCATATTTTTGCTAATTAGCATAACTCCATCCATACAACCTCATTAACATAACCACCACCACAACACAACCTATGAACAGTTCTGGCCACGAGGACATTGATTGACAGCTGCCTGGTGTCGAACATGCAAGACCACGCCCACCTCCTCTTTAGCGAATACGTAAGTCAGACGTATCCGGATCAGATAAACCGATTCGGTAAGTTGTTGCTGGCCATCCCTACAAATTCCGCCATTCCCGACGGAGCCATTGAGGAATTGTTCTTCAAAGAGGCCATCGGCGAGATACCCATGGAGAAGATCATCGAGGATATGTATCGATCTGGGGTCATTTGATGAATGAATGAATAAAGAATCGTTTTTACTGACTCAAAAATTTCTTGTTTGATTTAAAAAGTTGCAACCCCAACTTTATTATACTTTTATGGAAAGCGTTTTCCAATAGATGAAACCAGCTATCATAACTGTTAACGAACCTCAGACAAACGTCCAACTTTATTCTTGACAATGTTTTTTTTTAATGAAAATCGCTTCCTAACGAACTCAAAAGTGAGCTTTGTAATCTGCTGTGAAACAACTGAATTTTGAAGTTAAGGCAAATACAGCACACGAAAATACACACTTAACAGATCACTACGTCTTTAAAAATCACTAAAATAATAACAAAAAGCACATTTTATTTACGATGTTCAATTCATAATGATGATAATTGGTCTTCATTTATTCAAAATTAAAACAAATTCAAAAATAGACTTGAATTAAAATTACATTATGCAAAAACTCGACAGATTAAACCAGGGGTGGGCAAACTTTTTGCTGTGAGGGTCGCATTGAAAACTATTTGACCTTTGAAGGGCCGCATATGTACTTAAATAGCAGAGTTTTTCGACCCATGGGAGAATTTTTTAAGATTTGTGGCTCCCTTTTTTGTTTCTTGGTCATAACGATTTGGTCCCATCTCTGGATTAAACTAATGAAATCAATGTCCGTTGGATGATTGTCCTCGAAAAAAAGCTATGAAAAAATAATTTGTTACACGTATGCATGTTTATATGTATGTATGTGTATCTGTATGTGTGTGTATACATGTCTGTGTGTGTGCAAGTGAGTTAGTATGTGTTTGTGTTCATATGTATGTATGTATGTATGTGTGGATTGATGCATGTGCTTGTGTGTTTTTTTGCACTTGATTACAATTAATTATTAATAAATAATGTTTAAGTTTTGACCTTAGCAAAAAAAAAAATAAAATAAATCAAAGCCATCAGCTATAAGACAGCATCACGCATCATCTTCACACGGCGAATGTTACGCTATATAAATACAAAAAATGTAAAATTTTACTCTAATTATGTTGTATTACTGTTTTATTGAGTAAATAAGTGAATGAGAAACAAATGAATGAATGAATGAATGAGTGAGTGAATGAATGAACAAATAAGCAGATAAAAAACGAATGAATACTGAAATCTTACGAGGTAACATTAGTAATGTGAGGTTTCAATAAGGAGTAATTAGTATTCATCAAGTAAGTTTTCAATCATAAATTTAATACTTCGAATACAAATAATAATAATTTAATCATAATTTAATTTCCAAAGTTCCGATTCATAGAACTTTTAGACAGATTAGTGAAAAAGCAGAAAGAAAGAAAGAGAAGACGCCACAATTTGTTCCATGTTGTCGGAATTGGTCCAGTTTAGAGTCACTTGTATGTTATTGTATTTTGAATTGGTCGTGTGTGGTGTAGTTTACAATATTTTACTGGTATGTGTAGTTGTATGTGTAGTTGTATGTATGTATGTGTGTGTGTGTGTGTGTGTGTGTGTGTGTGTGTTTTTAATACAGTTTTTTTTATAAAATGGTTATGTTGTCTCTCTCCTACATTCTTAATGTATATGTACAACCATTCACACAATTTTGAGTATAAAACACAAACATACGTACGGCGTACATACAAATACACATATAAATCGATATGAAATACAAAAACATACACTATAAAAATAATACACACTTTAAAACTATGCTGCTAATGTCTTATCTTAAATTTACATATTTAAGGCATTTTTTTGATATAACCAAAGAATTAATTGATAATTAAAACTATTAAATTAACAATTCAATAAACAAATTCATTAAAACTGAATCAAAAAGTGATACTTCAAATTCGTTTGTCGCTTCATTTGATCTGCAATCGTAATTGTGTTATCTTTCATACATTCAATTAAAATTCTTCTACAAAAATTCTTCTTAAATACATCCATACAGAACAATTTATGATAAATCATTAACATTATTATCATTATCTTGATCGTTATCATAACAACCATCATCATCATCACCACCATCGCCGGATGTCACGTTAACTTCTGGAATGAGTGATGTCACTTCAGTTATATGTCCACTGCTGACGTTGTATGTTTTTGTGTTGAGAGAAATGACGTCACCGTGGTCGTGGCCGTTGTTTTGATTAATGTCATTTCCGTTCTTGCAGTTAAGGTTCATTTTGCTGACGTCATAACCGACTTCTTCCGGCCTAATTCTGAGTAATTGTGGCCATGTTTTGTCATCCCCGCTCGTGGCAACATTGTGGGAAGACGTGAAGGTGTCGGCAGCAGAACTGTTCAGAGCGGTGTTGGAACTAATGTTGGTGGATTTTGAGGTAACAGGTAATGAAGGGGTAGCATGGAGGGCGGTCCATGGTGAGGTCCTGACGACCCACCCAGCTGGATCTTCCCACAGAACACGGACCCCGTATGTCTGAAAGTTGTCGCGGTTAATCATTTTTTAGCGAGGTTAAAAATTGTTTCTAAACATCTCACAGGATGTTAAATAAACTACAACAACAACAATACTACCACTACTATTACTACTGTAAATAACAATAATAACAATAATAATAACAATAACCTGTAAACCATCTCTGACGGTCTGCGTCATGTAAGACAAGAGTTTAAAGTTCCACAGCTTCAAGAACCAGGCCTCCGCCTGAACAAAATCCATTGGACAGGCTAGGAATAAATGAGGTCCTGCATAAATTATGTAAATTAGGCAATAATTAGGCATAAATTACACTAATTTTAGTTTGATACACGTAGTTAAGAGTAATAATTTCTACTAAACTAACCAATAGCAGCATCATTTGAACTATGCTCTTCAATAAATTTATTCAGATGCTTCCATAATTTCGGTAGCCATTCGAGGACGGTTGCTGTCTCTTTTCCGTGGTTCTCGTGTATGGATGAGATGGTCAGTTGTGGCTTCAACTGCACCTCCAGCCACCTTCTTTTAAGGAATCTTTCTAGAAAGTTTTTCACAGGTTCGGTGTTGGTGGTGTACCGGATGAAGCAGACGTTTCGATGGAGTTGAAAGTTGGGTGCGTTCGTGTTGCTGATATTGTCTGGAGATCCCCTCGTTGTCCCAATGATGTAAGGCCTGTCAGGTGCAAACGAAATTATTACTCATTAAAATGTTGCTGCGATTTTACAAAATGTGTCTCCACACAAACTCTGGGACGTATTTCTACAGCGCTACATCATCAACATCGACGGCAACCTACCAATCTAGTTTATTTCCGTTCAAGAAATTGTCGAACACGTCACAAAAGGAAGTCACGTGATGCAAGTCATCCAAAATGATCACTTCCGGCAGATCCGTGGAGTTCCGATCCCGACTGACCGCCATCTTGTTGAGATACTGCCGCAGATCCTCCTGCGAACTGTGGTTCACTTGCAAGGTGGATATTGAGGACGGTCTCATTTCTTTTCCAGAACTGATGGAAGAGATTTTTGATTAGATTAATGACCTTTACATTTTTTTGCCAACTCATTCATTATTCAAACTTTTAAGAAATGACTTCTCGACACATCATTTTGAACTATTCGACCAATCTTCAATCAAAAACAACATTTATAAACGCTGTTTTGACGAGTTTGTCAAATAAAACCAGAGTTTTGAAAATATTTTGAAGTTTAAAAAACGCGACAACAACCTGAGAACAAGATGTTGAGCGAGTTTTCGAGCCAAGTAACTCTTGCCGACCGCAGAAGAGCCATAGAAAACAACACATTTGTGTTCCGCCATTAAGGAAATATATCGCTGTAGAATGCTTTTTGGGATGAGGCTCTCGAAGGATAGGGAATCCACTGATCCGTCTCTTGAATCTGTGCGGTGTGGATGTTGGTTTGTGGCGTTTTAGGATTGTGAGCGTGCGTGTGCGCGTGTTTAAAAAATGAGTAGAAGGAAGAATTAGGAGACCTCTGAGAGCCACAGAAACGTTCGTGTTATCGCCGACGAGGTAGCCACACGGCAGCAACTCTGGCGATGTTTCTGACAATTTTGTAAGAAGTTTCATTCAAATTTCATTTCATGAAAATTATCTCACTTATCGCAAGTTTCATTCATTTGCTACTTCACTCATTCATCCGTACACTCATTCATCCATCTCTTCTTTCATTAAGCATTGCAAACAACCTTGACTTGGAGACCACGTGACATCAGCGATGTGAAGGTCAGATACGCTCTCCCCGCCCAGACCCAGACACGTCTGCGAGTCTAGACGCACCAAGTAGTCCTTCATTGAAATGCATCGCAAGCCATTAATACGGAGTAATTAATTAATTAATTAACTAATTAATTACCTTGAAATTATTCTTGACTGACGTCATAAGGGAAGTCCATGTTGTTCCCCCACTGACTTGAATGGTACTTATTAATATCTCATCTGTATACTTTATGTGTGTGTGTGTGTGTGTGTGTGTGTGTGTGTGTGTGTGCGTGCACGGTTAAGCATACAAAAATCATACATGCACACACACACAACCTTAAAAGACGTACACATAAATATCTTTAATACATCATATAAATCTCACATCGCTGTTTGTATTGAATCCGGATCTGCGTACGGATAGTGTTATCCTCTGAGATTCCCTCCTTCCAGAGTCCATTAGCAATAAATCTGTAATATAAAAATAGTAATAATAATAATAGTAATAATAATAATTATTATTATTATTATTGATGATGATGATCGTAGTGTAGATTGATTCATCCCCAAAGTCACCTTAATAACGTCATCCTCAAAGTCACCTTAATCATCAAATAAATTATCGTCGTCATCATCATCATCGTCGTCGTCATCGTCATCATCACCGCCATCATCATAACCATAGCTTGAGGGATCTAAAGATAGCCGTTGGTCTTTGCTAATGGTCGTTGCTATGGAGTTCGTTGATGAAGATGATGGCAAGAAAGAGGCAGTTGGGGATGATAGCGATGTCGACGACGATAATGATAATGATGACGATAGAGTTGTTGCCGTTGTTGACGATGGTGATGATAATAGTTGTTGTTGTTGTTGTTGCGGTATTAATCCACGTTGGTTTATCATCTGCTGCATTCGATCATTCTCCACTTTCAATGACATCATTTCGTTCTGTTGTTGTTGATGATGTTGTGTTGTTGATGTGTTGTTGTTGTTGATGTGTTGTTGTTGTGTTGTCGATGTGTTGATGTCTAGTTGTTGTAGTTGTATTGTTGTTGATGTTGTGTTGTTGATGTGTTGTAAAAAATTAAAAAATTCGAAATTTATACAATAAATAAATCAATGGACCAGCAAAATCAACTCTCTTTCTACAAAAATTCTCTTAAAAAACCTCTCCGCACAAATAATTTGTTCCTACTCTTCAAAACAAAACAAAACAACAAGAAGAGAAGAAGAAGAGAGCCAGGCGATTAGGTACCTTCATTCTGTTCATGGTCTCTTTCAGGTGTTCCAGCTGGTGGGCTGACGACAGCGCCTCCAACCGGATGTCAGTCAGTTTCATATCCTTTTCCCGTAATTGTTGCTGCAGTTCGGTTATCGATTCCGGCTGCTGATTGGTCGATCTGTATGAATTATGACAGGTGGTTTATAGATTCTCGTTTGTGATTGGTCGACCTGGTTTAATTATTGTTTATGGATTATCGCTTGTGATTTGGTTACTACTCGGCATGATTGGGTGAAATATATTAATTCTCGCTTCTGATTGGTCGATCTAGTATAAATGTAACAATCTATTATTAAAATCTCATTTGTGATTGGTCGGCTTGGTGTGCAACTGGTCCAGGGAACATATAATTTATCAATGGATTCAAGGATAAATTAAATCAGAGAGTTGTTTAAACAAAAGCAAACATTCAAACCCCGTTTCGCTATTTCTCAAGGCTTTGATCGGACTGGTTGGCAGACTCATGGGGTGCTGATGATGATCCCTAAGAAGATGATGATGATGATGATGGTGGTGGTGGTGTGGAGTGCTGTGCTGCTGTTGTTGTAGGTGAAGCATGGAGGCGTCTGAATACAGACTGCCCGTGTCCGAGTCAGCGTCCGAGTTCAAGGACTTGTGGTGGGAAGATGTGTTGTTGTTGGATGTTGTTGATGACGTCGACAGGTTGTTGTTGTAGAGCTGCTGCTGCTGTTGTTGTTTCCTTCGAGAGAAAGCCTTCCCGAAGGATGACAGCTGTATATGATCATGATGATGATGATCTTGTAATCATAAACATCAACAGTAATAAAATCATCACCATCAACACCATCACCATCTTCAACATCATCATCAGGACACACCCAATTCCTCTGTTTCTTCTTCTTTTCAGAGCCACCACCACCAGTAGCGGCAGCAGCACTTGAAGCACAACTACCAGACTGGTGGCTGGCCACGCTGACGCTGCTGACCACACTGTCAGAGGACATATGCCTGCGGAGTTCTGAGGGAAACAAAGTTTTTGTATTTTTTTGGTGCTGGATGGTGAAACAATACTACTACTACCGTACTACTACTATCATTTAGAACATAATCATCATCATCATCATCATCATAATAATTATCATCATCGTTATCATCATCTTCGTCATCATCATCATCATCATCACAAACCGGCCGCCGATCCATCTTTATTTTTAAATGAAAAAATCCCAGTAGAACCAGTCGATTGCCTGTTGTTGTTGTTGTTGTTGGTGTGGTTTGAAGACGACGACGACGATGAATGAAGTTGTTGTTGATGTTGTTGTTGGTCCAGCTTGATCTTGGCGCCCTGGTTTCGCAGCAGTTCAATTGTGGCACGCAACTCATTCAACTCAGCGTCCTTCGTTCACCGGTTTGAGGATGACCAAATTCATTGTAGATGGAATCATATTATTAAACATTATCAAATATTTATTATAACCTAATCAAACACCATCAATTTATAAATGACTACATTTACTTTTTAAAACTTTGTAACGAAAATATTCAGCAAACCTTCTGGTTGGTTGCATTAGTCAGCAGCTGAAGTCGTCTGGTCATGTTGGTCAGACTCTGCTCGAAGGCACTCACAACATGAGCCTGGAGTGAGTGGTGGTTCATTCGTTCTTTCATTTGTTCATTCATTTATTTGTTTGCTACTTCGTTCGATCATTCATCACATCCTTCGTTCCTTCAACCGGTTAATTTCATAGCTCCTTCATTCCCATTCAAATAAAAACAGTTCACGACAACAGCAAACAACAGCAATCGAACAGATAATGATAACGACAACAACAAACAACAACAATCGAACAGATAGATAATGATAACATCAGCATACGTTTGTACTGAGTTGTGTGCTTAGCGTTGTGACTTTCGACTGCGCGCTCTGCAGTTCCTGTCGCAATCTACGTACCTGAGGTGGCAAGTTTCAGAGTTTCGTTCAAATCTTACATACATGAATACATACATACAAACATACGTACGAACATACACACATACAAATATGTATACATACATACAAACAAACAAACAAACAAACATACATGTATACAGACAAACATGTTTACAACTAATTGAAATGAAAGACTCGCTCACTTCCTGAGCATGCTGTTCTTCTGCCTGTTTGTTAATTTATAAAAAAAAATATTTCAACTTATCCAATAAAACTTAAAAAACATATAAGTAAATAAATTTACAAACAAGTTATAATTAATAAAACTATAATTAATGAAATAATTTAAGATAGTTAATAACAATAATAAATTGAATGGAGTAGGATCTAACGGTTGAATACGCTGAGGTTGCACTTGAACCCAGGGACAGCGTGGACCCACAACCTGGAGGTTTAGTTAGATTCAACAGTCTTATTATCATATTATTATTATAATTATTATATTATTATAATAATAATATTATTATTACATAATGTTACTGTTAGCCAGAACGACTGACCGACTAGACTGACTGAATGAATGAATGAATGAATGAATAAATGAATGAATGAATAAATGAATGAATGAATGAATGAATGAATGAATGAATGAATGAATGAATGAATGAATGAATGAATGAACGAATGGATGAATCTGAAAAAATATCAACCTCCATTTTCGATATTTTCCTTGTGATGAACATTATCATTGTTGGGACCACTGCCTCCGCTGTGTCTGCTGCTGGCTACTGCTGCAGACGTCAAGTGGTGGACAGTGTAGTTACTTGCAAAGCTGCTCGCGAATGGGCTGTGGTATCGAGAGATGAGATGATGAGAGGACGTCGTTGAAGCGTTAGTCTGGTTTGTTGGCGATGTTGGAGTTGTGATGTTGTTGTTGTTGTTGCTGTTGTTGTTGCAGTTGTTGTTGCTGTTGTTGTTGCAGTTGTTGTTGCTGTTGTTATTGCTGTTGTTGTTGCTGTTGTTGTTGCAGTTGTTGTTCTTGAAAAGTGACATGCTGTTCGGTAAGCCGTGCTGTCTCGGTAACGATGAACTCGATCTCGAAACGCTGATGTTGTTGATGTTGAAGTTGTTGTTGTTGATGTTGTTGTTGTTAATATTAGAATTGTTGTTGTTGTTAATAATGTTGACATTAGGAATGACGTCATTATTAATGTTGGTGACATTCATTCCCTCTCGTAAGAAGTTGACGATTTGTTCTTTATTGATATTAAAATGATCGCTGATGCTATTGTTGAGGATGTTGTTGTTGTTGATGTTGTTGTTATTGTTGTTGATGATGATGTTGTTATTGATGTTATTTGAAAGAGCGAACGCAGGGTGGTTGGATGGGCGGTTCGTCAGAGTATTCGAACCGTACGGACCGAACAGCACATCTCCCCTCGAGTGCTCGAAGGGGCGCAGAGTGGCCGATCTATGCGGAGAATCGTAATTAGCCGAATACTTTAATCGAAACCGAGACGGATCGTCGTAAAATTTTAATGTTTGCGACGATTGGATGCTATTTTCGTCACGCTCGCCATTATCGCCACAGTTGAAATTGTTGTTGCTGATGTTGGTGGTGGCTGCGTTGTAAATGAAGTTGGGTGTGTTGGTGGCCCTGGCCTGGTTCAAACGACTTCCAATCTCGGCACAGCCACTGCTACCCCTTCTTCTGATTCCTCCTCCATTGCTGTTCACGTTCATCTCCTTGTTTTTCATCGAAGCAAATAAGTGTTGCTGGGCCGATAGTGATAAGAACTGTTTGTGTTGTTGTTGTTGTTGTTGCTGCTGCTGCTGTTGTTGTTGTAGCAGTAAAAGTTGCTGCTGATGTGGCGTGAGTGGTAGTGGGGGTTGTGGTTGCTTCATGGGGCTGACTGGAGATGCGAAACCAGGTTTGATGGCACCAGTTGGAAACATCATGACCCCCTTACTGTAGTTACTCAACCTCTCTCCCTTCAGGGCGTCCTTCTCCGATGTTGCTGGACTGGCGTTCCTGTTCTTCGACTTGCTCCTCCCCCCGTTTGAGATCGACAGACTGCTTCCCTTGCTGCTGCTGTTGCTCTGCTTGTTGTTCACGCTCAATGAAGACCCTTTCATATTTTCGTTGTTGTTGTTGTTGTTGGATATTGTTGTATTTGCAGTAGTTGAAGACGACTGCGAAGGCACGCTGATGGTTTCCGCGCAAGACTTTTTGAAATTTTTCGGCTTCGGCAGTGGCGTCAGAAGCGATTCATCGGTGGACCAGTCGCTGCTCGTACGTTTGAAATCCTCCCTGTCCTTATTTTCCCTGTGGGTGGTGACCGGGGACAACTTCTCGGAGACCTCGGGAATGGTGGGTACGATGTGCAGCACGTGGTTGTTCCGTCTGGAGAGGTAACCACCAGGGTGGGTGCCTACCAGGGGCAGGCTGGCTCGCTCGCGTGAGTTCCTCTCAAAGAAGGTGCGAAAAGGCAGGTGGTAGGATCTGCCGGCGGGCTGGTTCTCACTGTCGCTGCAAGTCTGATGGGCTGTCTGGAAACTGATGCAGAATGGATAGTTTAAGTGATCAATCAAGCAAATCATGATAATTGAATTGAATTAAAAGGGCCCTAGTGGAGATGTGAAAAAGGTGAAAGTGGATTGTACTGCAGAAACAAATCAAGTCACCCATTCATCCTTCCATCCATCCATCCATCCATCAAGCTTATTCTTTATTCAAATAACAGACTCTCATTAATGACTATTACTAACATCATGATGACGACGATGATGACGAGGATAAAGATGATGAAAATCATGATGACGATGATGGAAATTATGCAAATTTATTACAAACGAGCTCCACATTGCACACACATACACCTCCACACACGCACGCACACACATACACAAATACACGCACACACATATACACGCACGCACACACACACACACACATACAAACATTCATACATAAATTGCCAGGCACATCATCCCATTGGGTAATCAGTCCATAGTTTTGGAGGTAATGTGGATTAGGAGAAAACCTATACACGCATAGATACGTTCATTTCATGCAATAAATTTTGCATAATAGTGAAAAAACACATAGACTCACGCACACACTCACACACAAACAAACACACACACACATATATATATATACACAAACACACACACAAACACACGTGCGCCTATCTAGACTACACGGCGACCAACAAAACAAAACATTAAATCATGTTTAACAAGAAAAATAGTTTTGTTTTGTTGGTTTGTATATATACAAAACAGTTATTATTATTATTATTATTATTGTGAAAAAAGAAGAAAAGGCTACAGGTGAAGTGAAAATGATGAAAAAGTTTGAAAATATTTCTTGAAAAAATTCTTGAAAACAATGTTTTTGCCTCCAAATGATTGCTTTTTTCTTTCAACTTTCACATTTTTTCATATTTCTACCCAGATATTTCTTGCATTCATACACAATTGGGACTAATTTTTCTATTTGATATCATCATCCCTCTGTATCATATCTTGTCTGATATATTTGTATCCTTTTTGACGTGTTTTTACATCCGAAATATTTTGGGGGCGTTCTGTTTCATTTATTTTTTTTCATTATTTAACTGGCCTATTTAAAGAATATTATTCACGTTTCTTAAATATCTGGCCGGTCTTTTTGTTGTTTTTTATTTGTTTATCCAAAGGAATCTGCCAACAACTTAATTGGAGAATAAACAACTTGAGAAAAAAAATGCACGTGAGAAAGAGTGCGGTGTGATTGATTGATTGATTGAAAGTACTGTCAGTAAATCAGTGATTGGATGAATGATGCTGATAATAATCAGAGACAGAGAGAGAGAGTGAGAAAGAGAGAGAGGAGATAAAGAGAGGAGTGAATGGAAAGTAAGATGATGCAAGAGTTTATTTATCTTCTTCCAATGCAAATACAAATAGGCGCTAGATAAATAGAATTGATTTGACGTGAAATGAAAAAGGGTTTGAGAAAGTGAGAAAGAGAGAGAGAGAGAGAAAGAGAGAGAAAGAGAGAGAGAAAGAGAGAGAAGAAAGATAGACAGATAGATGTAAAAGAAGAGAGGTTGATGAATGAAAAAATGAAACTTGGAAAGATAAAGAAACGAAAATAATTGAGGAATAAAAATGTTTAGATAGATGAAGATGCGTCAATGTAAACACTAAACATTTGTATACATTCATGTGTTTGTTTGTTTGTATGTATGTATGTTTGTATGTATGTATGCATGTCTGTATGTATGTATGTATGTATGTATGTATATATGTATGTTCGTATGTTTGTTTGAACACTTGTATGTATTTATTCTCTATGTAAATTTAATTAAAAACAAATATTGTTGATTCGGATGAATGGATGGATAAATTGATGGATGGATGAATGGATGAAGAAATGAAAGAAAGAAAGAAAGAATGAATGAATGAACGAACGAACGAACGAACGAACGAACGAACGAACGAACGAACGAACGAACGAACGAACGAATGAATGAATGAATGAATGAATGAATGAATGAATGAATGAATGGATTATGGAAAAATACAAAAAATTATCCTGAACTGATAACGACTTTTTTAAAATTATAGATGCTAGAATTATTAAAATTATTCCATCATTGCCATTGTTTGTTATTATTATTTGCAGTAGTAATTAATTTGAAATTTAAATTTGAAGTTAAATTATGCAAGGTCCGATCACTTCAATGCAATTATCAAAATTTAAACAAAATTTCTTTCGATTTTATTGAAAAAAATTATTTGCGAAACGAAATATCATCTTATTATTATTGTTAATTTAATTATAGTTTATATTACTGAATCACACACACACACACAAACACACACGACAAATCTATCTCTAAATTCTAATCAATATGATTAATAACAGCAACCAATAGCAAATATTAATCACTTATCAATATTTCCGGCAGTTTAAACCACATCCCTCCATTCCTTCCCTCGTTTATTTATCTCTAAACAGTTACAATTATAAATTACGGATGGTCATTTATTATTATTATTGTTGTTAATATTACACATACACACACGCACACACACACGCACAAACATACACACATACATATATATATACATATATATATGTACACACACAACAGTAACAGTTATAATAATTAACCTACCTGAGCTAAGCCACATCCAATAGAAAATGTACATTGCGCAAGACAAAGAGCCTTTGAAATGAACAACACACATACATACACATATACGCACGAATATACAATGTATATTATACATGTATATACGTATACACACACGAATATACATGTATATACACACGCATATATGTATGTATTTTTGTATTTAGTTATTTTTGTATGTAAAACGTCCATACACATACCGCATATAAATTGCATGGTATATATTCAATTATAAATGTGTATGTGTGCATGTATGTATGTGTGTGTATGAGCGTGGAATATATGTATACAAGTATATGGTGGATTGATGAATGGGCGAGCACATGTGTATGTAATATGGTAGAAGTTAGTGCATTATGCAGAAATGTACGTGTGATTGTACGTGTATATATGTATGATTGTGTGTGTATATGTATAAATGTATGTATGCATGCATGTGTGAGTGCGTGCGTGTTTTTAAACATAAGAGTTGATAAAATTCCCAGAAATGTATGTTTGATAAGACAAAGAACAGCCAGCTCTCTCCGTTCTTTGTATTATTGTTCAGTGAACTTTGTACCGCATCACACATACATACACACACATTTGCAAACATACACACACGCGTACATACACACAAACATACAGATACACATACATACAAACAAACAAACAAATATATTGTACATGTTTTGTTGTATCAATCAAGGGACGAAGACCATGCTGATGGTAATAAGAATGATGATGATGATAAAAATGATGAAGACGATCTCATGAATATTAAAAAAATAATTAGATGCTACGCACTACTGGTGTGCACCAGCTGAACGGCATCGTACACTCAAACGTGTTGAACAGATGTGTGTTGTACACAACTAATTGATATTCATAGCATATTTAATGAGCCGCATGTAGATGTGGAGAGAGGAACACCAAAGTTGGACATTCGTCTTCGGCCATATTTAAAGACCTAACAGTCGAATGCTGCAACTTTCGTCCAAACCATCACTTTTTCGCATTCCAGAAGAACATTGTTGAGTATCATCGGCAGGAAATTTATTTTGGCCACCCTAGCATCATGTTGGGACGTTTTGAATTTGATCGAGAGATTGAATATCACCAGGCTGAAGAATTGTTGGATGGAAACGAATGACCTCATGTTTTTTTTTTTTTCATTAGCTTGAATTTCCATTTTAAAAAATGAATTTTTAAAAATGGTGGTTTTTTGGCCTTTGGTTGGCCAGTTGACCAGCAATCCGGTCGTCAGCCTAACTCACTATTCGGTGCATCCATGGTACGTAATGTACCGTTCTGATAAATACATTATGACGTCATCCCTAAACATTTTCATGCTCGGTAAATAGAGTACTACACGAGGTATCTGGTAACAAACTACCAGCTTAATTTACTATATCAGCAACACATTTAGAGAAATCGAACTATAGTGCGTGTTCAGTAATACATAATGGTAAATATAATGATAATTATAAGAGATGAAGCGATATATAGTATCTTGAATTTGAATCAATCGATTAAAGGTACTACATAAAAAAAAATGTCAGAATGGATTTCCATTACCAAATTATACAAGTCCCTGCTCAGAAGATCAAGTGCAACATGAATGCTATGACAAACTACTAGCTTGATTCGCTATATCAGCACCACATTCTTCTAAATAATCAAATAATAGTGGGTTAATTCATAACTACTCCTCACGCATAAATACTAAAAAAGATAAATGTTCCTGTCTAAAAACTGATTTTTACTGACTTTTAATGGACAACACTAGTCTCCCTCCAGGTCCCTCTACATCCGTCTACCATCGTCACACACACACACACACACACACACACACACACAAGAAACGAAAAAGGGAGAGTTAGATTTTGACCGATGTTGCTGGGTGTGCCTGTAAGAACTTGCAACAAATTCAATTTAATGAAACAATACAAATTTTTGTATATGTATTTTATATATATACAAACAATTGCGTGCCGCCAGAACTTTTATGCATATAATAAACAATGCAACATACAATAAAACATACAAGTACTTTCGCTGGCAAACATGATTCCTTACTCACTCAAACCTAAGTTCAGCTGATAAGATTTGCTGTTAAGTATGTGTGTGTGCGTGTGTATGTGTGTGTGCGTGTGTATGTGTGTGTGTTTGTATGTGCGTGATTGCTTGTACGTATGTGTGGGTAAGTTTCTGTGTATACGCATTGTGTATATTTTTGCATGTATGTGTGCACGTGTGTGATTAATATTAATACTGTGGAGTTTATGATTGAAAGCAGACACTCCGACACTGACTCATTAACATACATTAACATAATTTATTCACGAGCTTGTTACTATTAGTAATAGAAATTTGATGCAACAGTGGTTTCCAAGGCAATATTAATGAAAGTAAATTTAATGTAGGTCACCATCATCATCACCGCTATCATCATAATCACCACCACCTCTATCATAATCATCATCACCCCCTCTATCATCATCATCACCCCCTCTATCATCATCACCAGTGCTGTTAACATCGAAGTATTGCTATCTTTTTCAGCATTCGAATATCGAGTTCGGCCGATGCGTTTTAGACCGAAGGTATCGAAGCTTGATGCCAACACTTTTGAGCACCAAGTGGATGCAGCTTCGTTAATGATTGCTTTAATTTTCAAAGTTTAGCGCGTTTTTAAAGTGGTAAATTTGAAATTTGAGATGACTTTTAAAAATGAGTGACGCCATTATTAGAGCTGATGCATTTGAAAGCCGGTGTTGCTTTTGGCGATACAATTTTCGAGCGCCATTAACAGCCCTGGTCATTGCACCATCCAAACTCACTTCCTCTTATAATCGCCGTCATCTTCATCATCCTCTTCATCAAAAAGAACTTTTTGCGTCGTTCTGTTTCCGCCAGACTCCCAGACACCACCACCACCACCGCCACCACCAGCTGCACCACCACCACTACCTCTGCCACTGCTACTTCCTTCACTGACGTAGCCACTCGTCATATCGTCGCTATGACAACGTCGCGTCATGTCATTTTGTGACGTCATAATTGTTGTTGGTGGGTAGAATGGCGACTTGGGGTTGTTGTTGGTGAAGTTGCTGGTGATGTTGTAGCAGCCATCACCGCCGAAACGACGACGATAAAGTGGTGGTGGATTGATATCTGATGAAGTTTGATGCTGTTGTTGTTGTTGATGTTGTTGCTGTTGTTGCTGCTGTTGTTGTTGTTGATGGCTGTTGTGTACTTGAAGCTGTTTGACACCATCATCATTCACCGGCACCTGTTTGTTTGTATCATTATGTCTCACAACTCAACACCATCTCCTAAACAATACCAACATCCTATTCTCAATACTACCTGAGCTCTGGTGAGTAACTCCATACTAACTATTACATAATCAGTATACGTTTTAAAGCCCTGCGCTGTTAGGGTTGGAGTTAAACCGCCAAAATTAAAACCCTTGTTAGATTAGGGGTGTTACACGAGAGGCCACACTCATAGGGATCCATACTTCAAATGTTGTTAAGGGTCTGCTTTTGGCATGCCTTTATTTGTTCTATCTGAAGTATGCTTCTTCTGAGGGTTCTTTCAGAGACGCCTAGCATTGCTTACGCTTATCGCTTCACAACAACTGCCACAATATTTCGAGCAACTAACGACAACCCATCCAACCAATCCCAGTTACGTCCTAATGCCAGTGAATTTAAATCAAAAGCGCCGCTCTGGCGACAAAAAATGAATTATTTACGATAATAATTAGCTGGAAATTATTTATAATAATTAAATGGTATATATTTATATTTTAATTTAAATGATTAAAAATAAAAACGAAGAAATGGCGTACATTATCGCGATGGATCATCGATTTGAAAGAGTAGGCGTCACCAAGAGAATTGCTGCGGTTGTAAGACGGGAAAATATTGTTGTTGTTGTTGATGTTGTTGTTGATGTTGTTGTTGTTGTTGTTGTTGTTGTTGATGTTGATGTTGTTGTTGGCGACGAGTGTGCCGTTCAGTATGTAATTGCTTGTCGTTGTGATAGCAAGAGGTGCCATGGGTTTTATGTTAAGAGAGGTGCTGCTGCTGTTGTTGTTGTTGTCTTCGTCATCATCATTTACGTGTGGCAGTTGTGGCTGCTGCTGCCACAGTTTTAAAAATTTTAAGTGTTATTTTATCAAATGCAAAATATTTAAAATAATTCACCTGAACTGAGTAAAAAATGGCGCGATGTATTTTATTGAAAAAATTTTGAAAAAAATGTTCACCATTTCAGATTGAGTGTGAGCTGTGCCAGCATCATCTTCTTCTTCTTCTTCTTCATCACCATCTTCATCCTCTTCTTCGACAACTTCATCATCCTCATCATCAACAACATCTTCAACTTCACCACCTAAGTCACTTTCATTTTCGTTTTCTTCCTCTTTCACCACATCAATCCTCTGTTCTTCTTCCACGTCGCCAGCATCATCGTCACCATCGTGTTGTTCAATCTCCTTATCAGATGTTCCGGTCGAATTATTTCCACCGATTTCATTCTCGATGATGTCACCTGCTCTAGCGATGTTACCGCTGATTACCGCCGATTCCATTTTCAAAGGCAGTGATTCGGTTAGCGGCTGAAGATTCGAGACTTTTGGTAATTTTGAGATAGCATTCCTAAGGCCCGTCGTTGCTGTCGCGGTCGGTTTTGTTTTACAACTATCGATGTTGCTGATGTTGCTGTTGATGTTGTTGTTGTTAATGTTGTTGTTGCTGATGTTGTTGATGTTGTTGTTTATATTTTTGAAGTTGATTTGAGGAATTCGCTTCAATGAATGATGAGACTCCGCTGATGTGGAGAATGGTTTGCTGCCATTGTTGCCATTGCTGATGTTCCTAGCTGATTGATTGTAGCAAATAGATTTCGATGTTTCTTCCTTAGCAGATAAAACTCGTTGAATTTTGCTCGTGCCTTTAATCTTGGCCCCATTTTGTAGCGCTGTATCTTTTTTGTTGGCCGCTGTCTTGCTGACGTCACCACTTCCGCTGCTGCTGCTGCTGCTTTTAAAAACTTTCGTGGTCGGGGTGCGTAATTTTGATGTCGCGTTTTTGTTCAGACTGCTAGCTGCGTAGGAAGAGCCAGCTACGCTGCTTGAACAGCTGTTTAAGCTGCTGATGCTGTTTGTCGACGAGGTCCTGAGTTTCGTTTGGATGGATGGACGTGTGACGTCACGAAGAAGTTTTGTTGAGACGGATGATGACGACGATGTGGTTGATGTGTTCATTGAGGGTGTGGTTGCTGTCGCTGGTGGCGGGGGGAATAAGGAGGAGGAAGAAAATGTTGGGTGTTTTGTGGTGGTTATTTGTTGTTGCTGCTGGTGGTGGTATCTTTGCTGTTGTTGTTGTAGTTTGCTGCTCCTTTCCAAAGTGGCTGTGGCATTGTTGTACGTCGTTGCTGTTGTTGATTTGAATGTTGATGAAGTTGAGTGTGGCAAATATGGTTGTTGACGTTGATGCTGGTGTTGTTGCTGTTGTTGTGGTGGTTGTAACTGCTTCTGCGGTGGCTGTTGCTGACGCTGTTGTAGCGTTGGCAGCATCATCATTTTGTTCTGTGTCGTCGTCGTCTGACGTGGCAGTTGGGTTTGAGGTGATGGAAGATTATCTGCAAGTTGGAAACGATCAATGATCAATTTTCTATACCTCATCAATGAATCACAACTGTCCAACCCCATAACATTAAGCGAATAAAAATAATTTGAATGAATCAAAAAAATGAAACTATATTGCGTTCAGACACATCAGCCAAAAACAGTTCATGCCCAACAATTTAATGAATCAGAAGGCAGACGAATGAGTTAGTTAACACCAACCTTTGCTGCTCAACAATTTCATGCCGGCATCAGCTTGGTTCTGCGGAATAACAATGCGAACGTACTTCGATAATGTATTTAACTCAAGACCATCCCAACATTACGAACAAAATTTAAATGATATTCTTCCATTTTTTAACTTAAATCGTAAAAAAAATGAAACGAGTAAATTTGAAACGAGAAAATAACTTCTACGGACCTGAGGCAGAATGTGATTCGTCGTTCGTGGACCCAAGGAGACCGTTCGATCCGGTATATTCGGTTTAGTTGTATCCGGTTTGTGGCCGACGTGCTGCTGCGATGTCGCGGTGGGCAGACGAGATTGCGGTATCGGCGGAAGTGGTTTGTTACAGCTACTTCCGATTGGCGCGTTATTTTCGCCATCTTGTCCTAAATTACTTTCCGGAGATTTCGTCGGCGTCAGTTTTGGTTGTGGGGCTGTGTTCATTAGGGATGTAATCACGGGGGTCGGTATCGATTTCTTCTTGTCCGTTTTTGAGCCGAATAGTTTCAGTTTAGTTAGCATGCTTGTTTTTTTGATGGCTTCAACAGGGGCGGTTGGCTTCGACTTGTTCGATGATGACGTCATCGAGGTCGAGGATTCTATTTATAGAAATGTTTGTTTATTTAATGATTCAAAAAGTTGTTTCATAATGAACTTTGTAATAAGTTATGAACGAAGGCTGTTTACAAACCTCTCCTCGACAAATCGTTGCCGATATTATCACCCTTGTTATTCATAAGTTTGTTGCTGTTGTTGTTAATGTTTTTGCTGATGTTGTTGTTTTTAATGTTGTTGAGGCTGATGTTATTGTGGCTGTTGTGGTTGGTGTGGCTGTTGTGGTTGGTGTGGCTGTTGTGGTTGGTGTGGCTGTTGTGGTTGGTGTGGCTGTTGTGGTTGATATGTAGACTGGCCGGCGAATAATCTCCAGCATTGCAAACAGAAGATGAAGACGACGACGATGACGACGATTCTATCGAAGGTGATGATAGTGATGACGATTCGTTTGCGTCTTGCTGCTGCTGTGGTTGTGTGGCTGGGTGCAATGCCGACGCCAATGACGATGGTGAAGTTGTCGGTCTGCAAATGATGATTTAATTGAACACTGCATGTTTCAGTATGCCTTATGTATGTGCAGGTTGGTGTATGTTTGTATGTGTTGTTGTATGTATGTGTGTACGTACGTATGTCTGTTTTTCAACTATCTAATTCAATTTGATTAGTAGGTTATGTATGTATGTCTGCATATGATGGTATAGTATTTGTAAGTATGAATGGATGTATGTAATTATAGTTTGTATAGAAGTTTCTTCTCGATACATGCACGTGTCAATGGTGAAGTTTATTTTCATTATTTCAGAGACATCACATATACATCCAACTCGTCACAACATCTTTCGTTCCTTCGTTCGTTGTTTAGTTTTAAGTTGGAAGAATTTTTTGCAATATAATTTTTTCTCTCTCTCCTCTCTCTCTTCTTATTTATATATCAAACGATATAAACCTTTTTTAGCGATCTCGAAATTTTCATCCTCGCACATATCCTGTGAGTTTATCAGTAACACAGACTCTCTCTCTCTCTTTTTTTCTCTCTCTTTTTTTCTCTCTTTCTTTCTCACACACACGCACGCAAACAAACACACACTCTTTTTCTCACTCACACACACGCACACAAACACACATGTTTATGTTTGCAGAGAAATGATTTATACTCAAACACTCATACACACTTTTCTCCAGAAGTAAGCATAAAAACACACACACATACACACACACATACATACAAACATACGCACGTAGAAACAAACATACTTACGTATACATACACACAGATACATAAAAACATGCAAAGGGTAATTTTATTAATGAATCCAGTGCACACGAGTAAATATTTGAAGGTCCATTCATGCGAAATATGTGTAACTGTAACCGGACACACACACACGCACACGCACACACGCTCACACACACACGCACACACACACACACATAAACACATATGCTCACACAGACACACGTGTTAGCACTCTTAAGAAGAAAAAGACATTGTTTGTATGATGGTAGGCTGGCGGGTTGGGTGGGATGGGTAGACACTCACAGAGGCGTGCCAATGTTTCCTCTCTTTTCATCGCACCATCCCCCCCACGATCATTCATAGACAACTAAAAATACCACGCATCAAGATACAAAATACCATACAAACAATATCTTACGGTACGATGCTATACAATACAAAACAACGGTAGATTGTTGACTTGGAGATAGATCAGGTGTTTCTATAATTAAACAACTAAATAAATTAATAATTAAACAAATAAATAAATTAATAATTAAACAACTAAATAAGTTAATAATTAAACGAATCAATTATAAAAAAAGTCTCAGTGAAAAATATCTGAATTATAAAAAACTAAACCAGGTCGTAATTAAGCAAATTAATTCATTAGTTAGTTCATTAAGGATCTCTTTATAGATAGATTTCAAAGCAGTTCTCGGGCCATTGATATGATATTGCATTCTCTACACAAACAAATGAACGAATACAAATAAACATATACATACACACACAAACAAACAAACATATACACGCATACATACATACAAACAAACAAACATACACATACATACACATACACACGGAGTAAAAAATTTATCGTGAAAGCACAAAAAGCAGAAAACTGTATGCAACAATTGTTTGCGCTGTAACAATGAAAACAAAACATTAAATCTGATGCTATGATGGAGAGAGAGGGAGAGAGAGAGAGGGAGAGGGCACCATTGATGAGTAATGCATAAATAAATACCTGGACTTACTAACACATTTTATATAGAGCAGACATACATTGATGCACACACACACACACGCACACACGCAGTCCCTCAATTATTAATATATCAAAAAGATAAGAAAGATTGATAGAAGGCCTTGGAGGGCAAACGAACTGAAGCTGTGGGAGAGAGAGAAACAAAAAGAGAGAGAGAGAAAGAGAGAGAGAGAGAGAGAGAGAGAGAATGAAAAACTTGAAAATGTGAGAAGTTGAAAAATTGAAATGAAACAAACGACCGAACCCAGAGTAAAACATTGCGGAATGAAGTTACGAGGTAGTACAACGATGATGGCATGGAGAGAAACCAATCTGGAAAGAGATAGAGAGAGGGAGATAGAGAGAAAGGGAGAGAGAGAGAGAGAGAGAGAGATTGAAACAAGAAAAAGAGATAGTAAAGTCAATTAGAAAGTAAACAAAACATTTTTGAAAGTGGAGTTGGGGAGGTTAAAAAGTGAAAAGCATTTAAAATCGGACGGCTGGTGGAAGATAATAATTCCTGTCTGTCGGCTTGTGCACGTGTGTGTATGCATGTTTGCTTGTATGTATGTTTGTATGTATGTGTGTGTGTGCGTGTATGTGCGTGTGTATATTGTCTACGTGTCTTAAGTTTCCAATTAAATGCTGGCTGGTTTGTTTCTGTGGAACAGGTTATATGTAAATTAGTTAGATCACATGCAACACATATGTACTCTGATTATTTCTCTGTGTGTATTTGTTGTATTTGTGTGTCTGTCTGTGTGCATGTGTGCGCGCGTGTGTGCGCGCGTGTGTGTGCCTCTGTGATTATCTTATCGTTTATTTTTTGTTTGCACACAGTTTAAGACCTGGTCATATGAGTATTATGGATGTTCTTTTTAAATTCATCAGCAGCACTGAGTATCATTTTAATGCCGTACAAGACGAAATGGGAAAGAATTATTTGTTGAATGGAATTATTATTATTATTATTATTATTATTATTATTATTATTTCTAAATCAAATTAGGTTTGATCTTGATATATTTTTTTAATTTTCCGCGCCTTTTTTGTTTCGTTAGTTATAGCTTCTAATAAAAATAAGATTGTCTGTCTGTGTGTGAATGTTTGTTTGTGTGTGGGGTGTGTGTGTGTTTGTGTGCGTGTGTGTGTCTGTCTAATGAACAAGTAAAACTAACATAAACAATAAATAAACAAAATGTAACAAATACATCATCCAACATAGACTAAAACATTTTAAAAACAAACAAACAAACAAAAACCGAAACCAACTCACAATTTATTTTTAAACGCTCCTGCAGCGTGTGAGCCGCCATTCTGTTTCCGACTCAAGCTAAGCTGCTGCGAGTTTGAAGCTGCAGTTGTAACAGATGAAGCGGAAGCCGCAGCTGCTTGCTTCTGCAGCTGCTTGTGGCGAGAGAGGCTGAAAAAGAGCTCCAGGATGCTCTTTAAGTTGCCCTGACAAATATCTGAAGTTGTGAACGTGATGATAGTTATCTATTATTATCATCATCATCATCACCTCAATCATCATCACCTCAATCATCATCAGCAGCAGCATCGTCGTCGACGTCATCATTATTATTGTAAACATCATCATCATCATCATCATCATCATCACTTGCCTTCTGGCTCAATGGCGTTCAACTGCACCTGACGTGATGCCAGCAGATGGAAGCACTCACGAATGTTCAGAAGCTGGTGGTGATGGTGATGATGACGACAACGATGATGATGATGATGATGATGATGATGATGATGATGGTGGTGGTGGTTGTAGTGATGATGCTAAGAATGATGATACGTGCATTTGTGAAATGAAACTGAAACATCATCATCAACACCAGGACTCACCTGAAAGGACAGCCATCAACGACAATTATTCATATCCAGGGTTATAATTGAATTAAAATCTTTACACCAATCAATGAATGTATTTTAAATGGCAAGCAAAATGAGAAACAAAACAAGATGATAGAAGACTGCATCTGCTCGGAGCATCTCACGAGGCACGCTTTCGTTCTTGTTGTTAATATTATCTCCACCTTCATATTATA